TGAGTTATGAGTCTACTATGCTTGTTTGGTAGATGAGTTATGTGATGATTTGAATGTAACTTATTGATGTGCTGATGTGATGATTGATTTTGTTTATTTACTTGTGTGCATTGTGTTCTTAGGATTTATCTTATAGATGTGATATAAATTGATGATGCTATTTTTGATTACTCTTGTTATTCTCAGGATTGCTTAATTGTTTTGGTACTTCTTGCTTATATAAGAAGTAGTGGTTGGGTGGAATTGCTCGTGTTGTGAGCATAGGTACTAGTAGTGGTAAAAGATAAGGTATTTTGCTAACCAACTAGAACTATTATAACCTTGGGTGATACATTATTTTGTCGAGTGTACTAAGAGATTACGATTAATGGAATTTCTAGAATCTATAGAGGTAGCGATTGATTCCAAGGAGGTTGTACCTGAGAATAGGAGTTTTGATATTTTGATGAGAGATTGGAACGTTGGTAATTTCCTTGAGTGTTGGTACTTGCCTGTTAACCTTTTAATGGTTTTGGGTAGAATGTGAATCTTACTCTCTAAAGTCTTTAGTACTGAATATATGAGCTGTTTTGATTTAGGAAAGCTTGAATATGATTTTTAAGTGGAAAGGAGAAAGTTTGGTGTGAGATCGGTTTCGTGAACGAGTAAGTGTTAGGGACAATTAAATTCCATTGTTAAATTTTATAATCAAATAAAAGTTTGCAATCTTTTAAAATAGTTTTGTGACTTATAGGTTGCTCGTTTGGAAGAGCAATCTAGTACACTAGTGACAGAGGATATCAAGTTGTTGTCACGAGGTCCACTTCAAATGGCTAGAAGATATAGTGGTTATATTGTCAATGGAGTTAGGTTCCACACAAAAAAGCGTGAAAGATGCTTAAAGTCCCAAAATAATGGCATTGTTGTCACTGTTAAGACAAGAAGTTATGCTAGTTCAAGAGATAAACACCCTAAGGAAGGGGAAATAAATTACTATGGTGGTTTAACTTATATAATTCAATTGGATTATTTGGGTATATATAAGGTAATTCTTTTCAAATGTGATTGGGTTGACATAAATAGAGGGTGTAAAACTGATAATTTTGGCATGACATTAGTTAATTTCAAATGTCTACAACATTCAGGGGATGATATATGTGATGATCCATTTATTTTTGCTTCACAAGCCAAAAAAGTATTTTATGTGGAAAATGAAAGACAAAGTGATTGGCTTGTTATTGTGCATGCCAAAGCTAGAGATATATATGACTTAGGTGATGAGTGGTCTAATGAAATAGAACAAAGAAAAGAACACGACTTACAAGAGATAAATCATAATGATTTAATTAGGGCAGAAGTTAATGATAATGATGATGGTATCATGGAATTCATAATAAACATGGAAGATGCTCTCCAAAATGCCAATGTTGAAGAGGAAATAGAGGGTTGGGGTGAAGATTTCTTCTATTTTTTTTCTTCTAATATATAAGGTATGTAATTTTTTTTTTGTTATAGTTTTACTTTATATGTGTATTTGTTGTTGTTGTTATTATTATTATTATTATTATTATTAATGTGTTGTGTATTTGTGTTGTTGTTATTTTTATCATTATTATTATTAATGTGTTTTTAAATTTATATATATATATATATACTAACATGGCTTTGGATTATATGTAGATATCATGGGGAGACGCAAAAAATTGCATACTATTCATAAAAATGAATCTCAAGTTAAAAAGCTACCAATTGATAACTCTACTGGAATTACTATGCAATATCAAGAACACAATCCTTCTATTCCAGAAAATAATATACAATTTGGAAGAGGTATACAATTCTTATTAACTTAATTTCTTATATTTTATATTAAAATTTAATAGTTTTTAATTGTAATAGATGCTACAAATGATCCTATGACATCAAATCTTCATCTCCAGACTCAAGAGATGAGTCATGTTGAATCTCAAACCATTCTTGGTATTAAAGAAACTATAAGAGGAGGTAATTAAGTTTTATTATACTTATTTTATCTTTAATTTTTCTTTATTTTGTCTTTGTATCCCTAATATTTAGTGCAAAAGAGCACAGTTATATCCTTGAGGCAAGTTTATCCCTTATATTTTATATTCTCAATTTTAATTTATTATATATTATAAAGTTTTTTTCCAATTCATTATAATAGGGTTTATAAGAGATCATATGGTGTCAAATGATAATCACCAGCCTAGCCAATCACACTTAGAGCAACAAACCGAAGACTTTAGTCATGTTGAATCTGAAACTTCTCTTAAGAATACAAGGACAACTTTTAATAGAGGTAACTAGCAACAAATTGCCACGTCTAAATCATATAAAGATAGAGAAACTAAAGTTAATTTATAGCTAACTAATTTCTCTTTATTTTCTTTTAATTGTATTGTAGATCTCATATCTATATTTAGTTTTTAATATATATATTGATACTTGTGTGATTTAGGTGGAAAGAAGACTAGAGGTTATACACATATGTTGGATGTGTGGGATATGTCAGATGATGAATTCATAGTTGTTGAGGTAGATGCTTTGGGAAATCCTATGAGTTCAGAAGGAAAAACTCTTTTAAGTGCAATTGGTAGCTTGGTAAGGAGGCACCAATGTGCTCCTATCAATTATCTTAGTTGGAAAGACATGCATGAATCTAATATAACTGACATGCTTGAACTAATACAGGTATTATATAGAATTTCATAAGTTCTAATTAATTTCATCTTTTGTAATGGTTGACTAGTGAATTGGTTTTTATTATTGACTTTTATGATAGAGTAAGTTCCAATTTGTTCCTGAATTGTCTGAGAAAACCAAGAGAATACTAAAGGATAACATGAGTAATAAGTGGAGGCAATTCAAACATGATTTGAAATCAAAGGCATATGATGCAAGTAAAACTGAGGAAGAAATGGCTGCCAACATCCCAAACAAAAGGGTTGATCCTTCTCAGTATCATGATTTAGTACATCATTAGAGTTCTAAGAAAGGACAAGTGAGTATATATATAATATTATTAACATATTGTCTAATATAGAATTTATTTAGCAATATTTTTATATTTGTTTTTTCTTTAACATGGTTATAGGACATAAGTAACATGAATAAAAGAAGTCGCTCAAAATATAAGGATCTACATTGCATGGGTACCAAAAATATCCCAAGGTTAATTCATGAGGTAATTTTGTTTCTTTCAATAATATTTTTTTATTATGTTACTTATACTTATATGATTATTGATATTTCATTACTTACATTAGAAAAAAAAAAGGAAAATGGAGTGCAACCCTCACGAGCTGAAATTTATATTCATACTCGGACTCGAAAAGATGGGAGCATTGTGAATGAAAAGGCAGTCCATGTGATTGTAAGAATTCATATTTAGATTTATCCTTATGTGCTAGTCCAGAGAAAGATTGAAATCTGTTTCTATATAAACTTAAGATAATGGATGTTAATCAGTAAAAAGTGGGTTACAGTTAGTAAATTTTGGGGGATTCTCTTGTTCTGTCAGCAATATAAATACTTTTGATGTTGTTTTCCAATCAAAATTAAGATTTTGTATCTTTAATTTGTGTCTTAAAGGTTTGCATTAAATGTTAACAACTTAACATAGATTACTTGAATGAAACTATAATTCTGAGTGGATAATAACACCAAAAGTATCTAAGAAACTTTTTGTAAGTTTTGCCCTTTTGGTTATTGTGTTTGCTTTGTTGTGTGGATATTGAAGAGAAGTGTAAAGTTTTCCGTCTTTCTTTGGATAGGACCATGTTAGCCTTTTCATTGTTCATAATCCATGAAACTGGCCGAATGATGGGGGTTGTAATGTTTTCAAATGGTTATTTTTCTTTAGAGAATGGGTAGTAGTTTATGCTATAAACTAAAGAGTGGGTGCTCTTTTGTCCTAATAGATATCCTTGTTAGTACATATACACGAAAAATGCACAGTGAATACTCATAGAGGGAAGGGTGAGACGTCCCCGAAAGGAGTTTGAAGACACTTGACTATACATCGACTAGATAATCAAGGAGCGACTGAAACCTTGAGTTGAAAAGAACATATCCCGACGATAATCACAAACGTCATGGATAAAAAAGAATCGTCAACATTAACCTTAACGCGCACAGGTTAATTTCCTGACATTAAAAAAAATTTGAATTGCATGTTTAGGACTAAACACATGAGCATAAACTACATCGCATTCATATGAGGTAGGGGGATATGGAAAGGTGTTACACACAAAAAATGGAATAAATGTTTTACTAAGTCATGCTTTGACATTTCTCCTTGAGAATGTAGAGATTTGAATTTAATCACATTGTCACACATTCGTTAATGTATTTTAACTTATATTTCTGTTTTTTTTTATTTATATCTTACCCACTATCAATATTAAACCTTTGCATTTAGATATGCAATGGCCAGAGTTGGAAATTTATATAAATGAATAGCAATATTAGTTTTCTACAACTTTTCACCTGTAGACCAAACTACATTCATCTCAAAAGTCAAGATTGATAAGCATTTTATATTCCAGCTAATCATCAGACTAGCTATGCAAGTGTCACAAGTTTGGATGCCTAGATGATGAATGAAAATTTTCAATTATTTTTTCTATGGAGAAAAGAAAACATTGTTTTTTTAAATGATCTTATCAAACTAGCTAATGCTCCTTTATTATCTTTTTTATGTTCTGTTACTTTCGTATAAAAGGTTACAAAAACATCTAGTGTCATACAGGATCGATAGTTTGGGTTATTTTAATTAATATGGGTTGTGATGTAGGACGAATTAAAGAAGCATATGGTGGAGGTAGAAAGTTTAGGAGGATCTCAAACTGCTCCTGATTATACAAATTGGAAACATGTCATCTATTCCAAAGTGAAAGGGCTTGAAAAAAGAGGACATGTATGTTGTCTTGGCAAACTTCCACTTGCTAAAAGTTCAAATACTACAGCTGAAAGTTCTACTGCAAAACTTAGAATTAAAAAATTAGCGAAGGTACTTGGAAATCTTGTTTCTTTTCTTCAAGCACGATTTTCAGGAGTTCATGAGATTAATGATATTATAGAAGTTGTAGATCAAGAGGTATTAACTCTTACAAATGAAATATGTCAATTGTGATCATATTTAACAAAAATATTACTTTACATATATTTCTTTTTTATGTTTAGATACTCGATGCTGCAAGTAACAGAAACGATTATAATAATAGCATTTAGTGAACTACAAGTGGTGGGTGTTAGGTGATATCGATAGGTAAGAAATTTGAGTTGAGAAACATAATCATATAATTATTTTTTGTAATTTTAAGTGTATTTTTATTATTTATGATTGCAGGTTCTTTATAAATACTAGGATTTATACATGCTTATGCGCATCAATAATGGGTAAGATATTACCCTGAGGTAAATATAGATCATTTACTATTCATTGAGCTAACATTATAAATAATATGTTATGAGCATGGATTGACATTGTTCTCTTTTTGGGATATAAAAGATTGATATTAATGTTAGCTTCTAATCAATATATGTTTTAGGTTGAGAAAATAAAAAATTTAAGATAGCTTAAACCCATAATGCAAATATGGGCATTATTATTACTTATCTTGAGCAATGCAATTATTTTCATGCTAAATGGAGTTGTCAAAAGCTATCTATTTTGAACTACAACTACAAAATTCTATATTTTTTTTCATACTTTTCCTTCTCACACCCACCATTTTAGCAATGGAAAGAGAACATTAACAAATTGATTTCTTTGCTTTTACCCATTCGTATTTTAGAAAATGAACCAAAGAACAAAGGTAGTTAGTACACATTGCTTTCACATTTAAATACCTAAATCTATTTCTAGAGTGGATGTTAACTAGCAAACATATATGATGTTCCAGCATGGCAATTATGTGTTAAATGCACCTCTGGAACGGGTCGTTCCGGTTTCAGAACGGGTCATTCCCAGGTGCGTGATTAACACACAATGTTCGGATCCAGAACGGGCCGTTCCGGCTTTGGAACGGGCTGTTCTAACCACTTTCTGATGCCTATAAATAGACAGCTTGGGCACATTTCTCAAGGCCACAAAATTTCGTCCAAAACTCCTTAGAGCTCGAAATTTCTCTCTCTCCCTTGAGATTTGTGAGGCATATTGTAGTGTGAAAGGTTGCCATAAAGCACCTTCTCCATATTTGAGGATTCAATAGAGCTTGTTCAAGAGGTATTTCAATCAATCTTCTTCTATATCTTTTATTTCTCATCTTTATCTCTATCTTTTATTTATAACAAACGCAATCATGTAGATATTTTAGGGCTTTTCGTATAATTTAAATTTTAAATATGTAAATAAATATTAATAAAGGGGATTCAATATTTAATTTATTAATTCTTATCGCTTAATACCTTCTCTACACGTAACCGACCCCCGAACCCAATTCTGGTTAACAAGGCCGTTGTTGGATCTTTAAAAACCTTTTCTTTTTCCAATGTTTTGAGTAAAATATTAGTGGCGACTCCATGAACCTATTTTCTAAAACTATTAATTAAGGATTAGTCTGGTGTCCGGGCATTCCTTAATTAATGAGACTTTTAAAAGGATGTCTAAATCATAGGTCGCGAGATCGAAAATTTTCGGGTTGCGACAGATGGCGACTCCACTGGGAACGTTTAAAGAGGGTTAGGCCCATTTAATTGATGAAGTTAATAAAATAAAAATAATAATTTAAATATTTTCCCCCTTTACTTTGTTTGCTTTATTTGTTTGGCTTTCATATTTGTTTGCTTGATTAAATTCTGCACCCTTTTGAATAAAATTATATATAATCCTTTGCACACAACAGTTCCCCGTACACCCGAGGGCATGAGGGTAATAAACATAGGGATTGGTTGACGTTCGACTGGCCCAAGTTTAGCCTTGGAGCCTGCGAGCCTTGTCGAAAATCACACTCAAGGTGATAACCGATTACTCTAGCTCGAAATATTGGGATAGACCTTAGAGTTTGTCAAGTGACGGTGACAAAGATACTGGGTCCCTATAATGGGGGCACCTTGGGAGCCTTAAAGATCGGTGAGATTAGAACCGCCCTATACAATGCACTTTTCTTATAGGGACCACAGACCAAGGATTTGAATGTGACTGTCCGCGGGTGTACATTTGTTTGAGCATATGTGTGTTTCATTTGTTGTGTTCTCTCTATTCATTTCAAATAGAAAGGAATTATAGACAAACAAACAGATATCAATAAAATAAAATATAT